CTGCCAATCACGTTGAATCAAAGGATATTATTGCTCTGCAATTGCTCATTTACTTACCGAAGTTGAAAATTCAAAACTTTGTATAAGGCTGGAAACTAAGTTTTGCAACTAGTTTCATAACTTCACTCTCTTTGGATATGGCGCACTCAAGCTTTGGCATTATGTAGAAGGCAATGTGAGCTACAAGTAAGCACAAATTGTTTATATTTTGAACGCGAAAAAGAAAAGTTTTAGGCGTTTTTCGAAAACTAGTGAAATTTGAGAATTTTTGGGGTTTCAAACTAAAATGAAGGCTTTGGCAGCCTAGACCATGTGCAGTAATCGGGATTCGTCTACGAATTATTGCCGAATTATTGACTTTTTTGGCCTATTTAAAAAGAAACAGAATTTAGGGGCATGTCGAGATTTGGCGTCTTCATAAAGTCGAAGGAGTCGATGTACGCAAGAGCTGCTGAGGACGACCGTCAATGACTAAAGAGTCCGAAGCTCAAATTCCGCCGAGACTTTGCCTAGTAAGGTTATTTGACCTGCCAAATGCGAATATCATATTCATTTGTTAAATCAACGCCTTTTTCCTTGTTTAGGGTGAGACCCCATATCCTACATCTACAGTAATCGTACAAGAAAGCACTATCACGCAATTTCACCACGTTTTCGTGATCAGCATTTCGGATAACACCCCTATGCCAAGTTTCAGCCAAATCCGTCAAACTTTGAATTTTTCCCCTTCATACCATGCACCTACCGTAACCCTCACTGCGACGTCAGAATTTGGTAGGACAGCAGCTGCGTTTGTACCTTACGTAATAACCAGCTCAGTGGCAAAATTTGAGGGCGCCATGCTGTGTGAGAGGGAAGTTATGAGATCAGTTGCGAAACTTAGTTTCCAACCTAATATTTCCGATACTATGTAGACTGGCCAAAAGTTCTTTCCGTGATTTAGATCAAGCCGCAAATCCCTAAAGAGAAGATTTACAGATAAATTAAGCACTATTCGATGCATTTCTTCCTCTTCAGCAGCTATGTCACTATGAGACTCTTCCAAAGTCAAAGGAATCGCCAAAGCTTACGAGCTTTCATTTCCGATTTTTCGAATTTTTGTTCGAGACTTTTGAAGGTGCCTTCGATAATCGGCTAATAAGGGCAAACCTTTTGCGAATTAATGCAACATTGTATTTCTTTGGTTTCCTTTTAAAATTACTAAAATAAATTTTCTATAGCCTTCAAGTTTCATATTAGGCCTACTGTACCTTCGTAAAATGAAATGGTAATCAGTTTAGTTAACATTTAATGCGAATCTTCTCCTTTTCTAGCTATTTTCTCTTCAGGTAAATGCGAAATTTGCAAGAAAAAATAGCGTATATTCCATTTCGAATGTCCACTGATGCACCCTAAAATTCAAATTCTTTATATTTCAAAACGACAGTCGCTCTTTTACTTTTTATGTCGATGATAGTGTCGAGTTTTGTAATTTCTACATCATGAAGATCTTGCAGTACTGCAAATCTTGCATTTACGTGTCAAGCGACCTTTGGGGAGTTAACTTTCAGGCATTATTCACGAGAAGTCTGAAGAGGAAGTCAAAGATAAAGAGAATCGCATTAGCTTGCAAAAGGTTTGCTCTATCATAGTTCGATGATCATCGTCTGCGAAAAGTCGAAAACCAGAAAAAGTATATGAAGGGTCATGAGCTTCGGCGATAATTTAGACGCTCGTTGAATGAATTGCATCGTGAGCATAACAGTTGGAGTTGCCTAACGTATTTGTTTAATTTATTCTGTGGCATTTGCTTGTTGGTCCAAGTAAAGAAAAAACTTTTGGCCAGTCTACATAGTATCGGAAATATTAGGTTGGAAACTAAGTTTCGCAACTGATCTCATAACTTCCCTCTCACACAGCATGGCGCCCTCAAATTTTGCCACTGAGCTGGTTATTACGTAAGGTACAAACGCAGCTGCTGTCCTACCAAATTCTGACGTCGCAGTGAGGGTTACGGTAGGTGCATGGTATGAAGGGGAAAAATTCAAAGTTTGACGGATTTGGCTGAAACTTGGCATAGGGGTGTTATCCGAAATGCTGATCACGAAAACGTGGTGAAATTGCGTGATAGTGCTTTCTTGTACGATTACTGTAGATGTAGGATATGGGGTCTCACCCTAAACAAGGAAAAAGGCGTTGATTTAACAAATGAATATGATATTCGCATTTGGCAGGTCAAATAACCTTACTAGGCAAAGTCTCGGCGGAATTTGAGCTTCGGACTCTTTAGTCATTGACGGTCGTCCTCAGCAGCTCTTGCGTACATCGACTCCTTCGACTTTATGAAGACGCCAAATCTCGACATGCCCCTAAATTCTGTTTCTTTTTAAATAGGCCAAAAAAGTCAATAATTCGGCAATAATTCGTAGACGAATCCCGATTACTGCACATGGTCTAGGCTGCCAAAGCCTTCATTTTAGTTTGAAACCCCAAAAATTCTCAAATTTCACTAGTTTTCGAAAAACGCCTAAAACTTTTCTTTTTCGCGTTCAAAATATAAACAATTTGTGCTTACTTGTAGCTCACATTGCCTTCTACATAATGCCAAAGCTTGAGTGCGCCATATCCAAAGAGAGTGAAGTTATGAAACTAGTTGCAAAACTTAGTTTCCAGCCTTATACAAAGTTTTGAATTTTCAACTTCGGTAAGTAAATGAGCAATTGCAGAGCAATAATATCCTTTGATTCAACGTGATTGGCAGCTGGAAGGCGGGCTTCGAGACCTAATCACGGCTAGGGAGTGATCAGAGAGCACGATGGCCAGAGAGACGCAGACTGCGATTGTGAGCGGTTGCCTTCCAGGCGCTAATCTCATTGAATCAAAGAGAGTAATCATAACCGTTGAGTACTTCAAATAATTTCTAAGGCTCCCGCCAGAGTGCCGAAGCCATGCCAGCGCTACGCCAGCGCCGAGCCAGCGTTTCGATCGATACACGTGTATTTCGTCGGGGCAGGGCTAGCTGACTTTCTCAGCCAGGACCCCGCCCCAACGAAATACAGGTGTATCGATCGAAACGCTGGCTCGGCGCTGGCGTAGCGCTGGCATGGCTTCGGCACTCTGGCGGGAGCCTAAACAATGTTTTGCACCAAAACAGCTGTATTTATTGCTCCAATAACCTGTCCACTATCAGCTGTCTGTAGCAATTTCAGTTATTATTTTGTCCAAATCTACCTACCTTCCACGCTGCTTGTCATCGTTTCTTGGGTATCATTTTGGTTAGACAGAGACGCTGTTCCTGCCAGGGTCACACTGGGAGTTACAACACTCTTAACCATGACTACTACGGTCAGTTTCGATTCCTTTCTATTTATTTTAATAAATGTAATTGCTATTCAGTTATTTAAGGCCATAGGGATCAATAGCAGCCTTCCAGCAGTATCCTACATCAAAGCTGTGGATGTTTGGGTTGGTGTTTGTTTGGCGTTTATCTTTGCGACCGTGCTCGAATACGCTTTTGTATCGTACCAAGGTGGTTTGCCGAAATATAGCAAGCAACGTAAGTTTTTTATTTTTTATTTTTTGGCATGAGAATTAGTTTTGTTCTAGGCAAACTACAAGAGCACGAAGCTGAGCGTGAACGTGATAATGAAGACTCAGTTTGTCAACTTTTCAGTTTATTTACGAATTATTTTAAAAAACAGCAATGTTTCAGCATGCTTCTCCGCGCAAAGACAGCTTGGGGAAAGACGAGCACGAAGTGCAGAGGTTCATAAAAGCTAGAGTAGCTGAACTTAACGACTTACCCTTACTGGATTGGTGGCAAAAATGGAAAGTTGACGCAGACTCTCCGAAGATGATTGACCTAAGATCACGTAAGTGATGTGAACTTCCGGAGAACACTAATCATTTGACATGTTAAGGTATACTGTTCCCGGCACTATTCGTGCTTTTCAATGTGTTCTACTGGGTGTGGTACTCGGAGCTCTGAACGCATGTACTGTTCGCGCTGAAGATGTATTCCAAATGCGACTTATCTATACATAATTAGAATTCACTGTCTCTAAGGTTCCGGCTTATATGTCCGTGTTTAATGGAAAAATGCTAGTCTTTGAACCGATTGAGCTGAAACTGTGCGCAGTTAAGTATTCGATCCCTGCACAAATTATAAACTACACCAAGGCGATTCACAGACTTCATCTATCGATTTATCGATTTGTTTATTTACATCTTAGAAAACGAAAGCTTCTCATGCTCTAACCACTTATTTTCCAATAAACATGTAAGCAAGGGCGGTCAAGCTCATTTCAATTTCAAAGTCGGCAAGATGCGAAACTTCGTCTCACTACGCTTTTCGCGCATGGTAGAAGGAGTTTGAAAGCCTAAGTAACACAATTTGTTGGCCTAACTAATTTAATCTCGGGTGCCGGGATCGCAAGCTAGTGTACAAATAATTTTTGCCCATTTCTCTAGCTTTGCACGACTAGACGCTCGTGATTGTATTCAGTGTAAAGGAAGCGATTAAAACGCCTATCGATAACTGTAGCAGTTGACGCATAAAAATTGCAAAATCCCCTTACGTTATCAGAAACAGAGCTGAGTGGTAGTCGTACTGCATCGATATATCAAGAACAATATAGGAATATATCATGGAATATCAAGAACAAGATAGGAAGAGAAACTTTGTTATCACAGGCAGGTTTTCAAAGCAAAAAACAAAACTGTTGATGGCTTAAAGGGCAGTGGCTCGGCAAATCTCACCCTTATCAAATTTTCGCTTACCTGGGGTTATTCAGTGCACTAATCCCGAAAATCCACTTTAGAAGGCCTGGAAACGGCGAAAACGAGCGTTTTTCGATGCCATTCGCTGTGAAATTGGACAAGTGGGGTGTAACGAATTTATGATTTATGGTTGTCGTTAAGCTAAGAGTGGTACCGTAGCTGGACTTTCAGTAATGCTTACTTCCTATTCTTTCAACCGGCATACATGAAACTCAACTAGCTTCCTTACTAAGCATTTATCAGGCAAATATAAACAAAGTATAGAATATAAAGTGTGTAGCGGTAGATGGCAAAACAGGGCGGGATAAAAGTATAAGAATAATTAGAGAAGAAATTAGATAGCGGATAGATAAGTGGAAGATAGATAGGCTTGAGATAGAGGGTAGCCAAGCAGGAGCTAGTGCTCCGGCTCAACCTTACATAGGTATAACAATATAATGGACGTGAATAAATACGAAGCAATTATACGAAGAAGAATAATAGAATAAACATATGATTAGAGATTAAATAAATATGGAGGGGGGTGATTAAAATGAGGGGGGGGCGGAGATTTGGAGACGATCTTGTTGAAGAGGCAGCTGCGAAGCTGCCTCAAGTCCGAACCTCTTGTGGGCGGGGCATATTACTTTATATAGCCCCGAGGCGCCCTGAGGCGGGGCGAGGGAGATGGACCAATAGCGCAGATATTTCGCGCTTTTCCTACATGATTTTCTTTCGGAAAGTCCCGGTCCCCGGGACTAGAAAAATTGAATTGGTGCTTCTTGGCATATGGCAGTAGCATGGCCGATGGCATTGCACCGGAAGCAGGTTGGGTTCTCTGTGCATTTGTTCAAGCTATGGTTCCCGAGGCAGCGAGGACAGAGCCTGTATCTTTGAAGAAGTACGTGGGCTCTTGTACGGTAAGGTAAAGGTGATTGACAGTACCGTGTAGGATGGGTGCTTTCGCTGCAGAGGAGGCATAGAGGTACCATAATCGGGTCAAAACAGCGTCGCTCAGTGGGTCCGCGATATTGGTGTTTTGACCAATAGTAAATTTGAGGTACATGTGGCTCTGGTGGTCTAGGAGGGAGACATAGTTTGAGTAAACTAGGGATGGCTCCAGGAGGTTTCTCCCAATTGCGTGGTTGTGGTTGTGCAATAGTGCACAATTTACGAGGAGGTTTGGGCGTAGTAAGGAGTACCCTACGGCGTAAGAAGCTTTGGGAGGCTTGTGTTGGCACATGGATAGTTATTGTAGAAGATGTGATGCCTTCCGGAGGGTTTGCGACAGTGTTAGAATCGTTAACTTGGGGAGTTGTGCTTTCCGGAAGGATAGTTGTATTGTCAGAATCGTTGATGTATGGAGGAGTGGTGCCTTGCGAAGGAATTGTGGCAATGTTAGAGTCGTTAACTTGGGAATGGGATGAAACTGAATGAGATACAATCGAATTTACATCAGATTTTGCGGGTACAACGAGGAGAATCTCGGGAGAAAGACTATTCTTTGAAGAAGTTACATCTAAAGTTATAGTGTTATCAGGAGGAGGAGTGGGAGTAGAAAGAAGATAACGAGTTAGGGAAGGAGAAGGAGAGGTGGAAGGAGAAGAAGAAGAAGAAGAAGAAGAAGAAGAGAGATAGTAAGATAACGCAGGTGATTGTTGCGTGTGACGAGAGCTGGATGACGATGACGAGTGGGATCTCTTGCGATTGAAACGTTCGGAAGCGACAGGAATCGTATTTGTCGACATCTGCAACCGTTTTCCGGTTGAGATCCTCGATTTTGTGATCGTTGAGATCCTCGGTTTCGCTCAACATATTTAACACGCTATTCTGGGCGATAGCTTGGTAGGGGCGCTCTAATGCGGCGAGGGTGCGGCGCGCGGCGTGCGAGCGACACGGTCCATTTGAGCGTGGCGGGTTACGCCTTCGAAAATTATATGAGTGATTGCAGGATTGTCATTTTTTTCTTTGCTTGTTGTTTTTTTTATTCTTTTTTTTCTTGGCTTTGGTTTTGCTGAATTTTTTTTCTTTTTTTTTGAAGATTGTGTTTGCTTTTGTTCAGCATGCGCGCTCTCATTGGCCTTGATGGTGATGCCAATCTATCTGCTGGTGCGCGCATGCCGCAATCGGGCTAAGGGAGAGAAGATAGAGCCGGTTATGCCGGCTATTAGAGAAGATAGAGCCGGTTATGCCGACTATTCCCATTATCATAGAACATATATATGCGTATATCTTTGGTGCTATTAGTCTGCTATTTTTGAATATTTGCGATATATATATTTATATACTATTAGATTCGTTATTTTTTTTCTAATTTAGTTTGATATTGCATGTAAATGAAGTTTTATTGGCTGGTAGTGATTTGTTTCGAATACGGGTTGATCGCGAACTATTGGGTATAACTATTGTGGGCGTATGCTTTCCGTCAATGATGTTGCAGGAGAGTATGGTTTCAAACGATTCATGTGGATGGTTCGTAAGCGACGGCCATCTCGGATGGTGACGTTTGGCCGTTCAATATCCACAAGGGGAAAAGGGCCTTCGAATCTAGGTGCGAGTTTTGAGTCTACATCTTTTCTTATCAACACTTCTTGTCCAATTTTATAACTACTTGGGTTTACACGTTTTCTAAGGTCGTAGTGATGCTTTTGTATGGTTTGAGAGGTGGTTAGGTTTTGGGTTACATCCTTTGAAACATTTTGGAGGGTGGAGGTTAATTGGCCCACGTAGTCATCCTCATCTATAAATGCTCTTGAGGGTAGTTGTAGGGCTAGGCAGAAGGCGTTATTAGCTTCTCTTCCATGAGTGATAAAGAACGGGGTATATCTTGATGATGCATTTTCGGAGGTATTATACGCGTGGGTTATAACATGAATTACGTCATCCCATTGGTCTTCTTTTTGGGATATAGCAGTGGCTATCAGTTCTTCGATAGTTTTATTCGCGCGTTCTACCTGACCATTGCTTTCGTGATGGTAAGGTGTACTAGTATTATGGGTAACGTTGAGCACTTTCAATGTGTTTCTGAAAATATCGCTCATATAGTTATTTCCTTGATCTGTGACAAGTATCTCGGGAGGACCAAAACGGCTCACTACTCTGTTGACGAATATGTCCGCTGTGGTGATTGCCTGTTGGTCTGGTATGGGTTCGGTAATCACTAGTTTAGAGAATGCATCAACAAAGATGATGATGAACTTGTTTCCCCGTAACATTAGTGGAAGGGGTCCTATGACATCGGAGTGAACGCGCTGAAACGGTCGTTTGGGAACTTCAAACCGATCCAGCGGTTCATTTGTGCGATAAACGGAGGGATCTTTCCGTAGTTGGCAGATGGGACAAGATTTTATAAATTCGCTGATGTCACTGGATATCTTGTTCCAGATTGCAAGTTTGCTTATGGTTGCTTTGGTCTTTTGGATTCCTAGGTGAGCGGTGCCAAAGCGGGATTCGTGGACTTGTTTGATTAGCACTTTCTTGATGTTGGAATCTTCAGGAAGTACTACCTGGGGATCTTGATAGACTTTCTCTGGTAGTTTATATAGTATATCGTTGAGGATAATATATTCGCGAGTGTACGGGTTAGACTCGCCTAGTTCTATGGCCTGTTTATAGGAAAGTATCCAGGGGGAATTTCTTTGTTCTTCTCTGATCCTTTCAATGAATTCCGGGTAAGACAAGTTGATGTTGGGATTGTCTTCGGTACAGATGGCGGCTACTTAAGGCGGGTGTCTTGACAGGGTGTCGCAGAGAATGTTAGCTTTACCGGGTCGATATACGATAGTTATGTCGAATTCCTGTAGGATTATTTGGTATTTCGCTAATCTCCCGGTTAAATCCTTCCGATGCAGAAGCGCTTTGAGTGGGGCATGATCTGTGACTACAGTACATTTTGCTCCATCAATGTATGGACGGAACTTTTGCACTGCGAAGACTATTCCTAGCGCTTCTAGTTCTATGGCGGGGTATCGGGATTCGTGGCTATTTAGGGTGCGACTAGCATAAGCAATTATTCTTAGTTCGTTATCCTGTTCTTGTTTTAGGACGCCGGCTGCGGCTTTGCCGCTGCTGTCCGTCTCGATGACGAATGGCAGTCCCAGCCTTGGTGCGACCAGGATTGGAGCAGTGGTGAGTGCTTCTTTTAACCGTTGCATGGCGTTTTCGCATTCGGAAGTCCATATAAATGGTACATCCTTCTTGGTTAGTGCGGTAAGGGGTGAGGCGATGGCCGCAAAATTATGGACAAATCTACGAAAGAATGAACACATTCCTAGGAAGGCTTTGATATCGGTGGGATTTTTGGGAGTTGGATAGTTGTCGATTGCTCGGGTTTTCTCTGGGTTAG